GGGGGGGGGGGGGGGGGGGGAATACCAGTGTTTATATATTGATAGATAAAAGAGAGGAGGATCACTGAAGAGATGAGGAGAAGGACTCTTGGGTGCCGGTGGAGAGAGCCCCAGTGAGTTTATGGCCAATGCCTGACGAGGCAGTGAAAAAGTACTAAAACCAAGAAGAGCAGATAAACGCTATGTTAAGCAGACCGTTTTACCAGCCATTTAATATAATCAGCGCACTCGAGGTTGATGCGATAATTCAAATGAAAAATCACATTTTGACAGATTTGGTGTACTTTCGGGGGGAGATGAATAAATCAAACCTGTGAAATTTGGTTTTTCGGACATTTATTATTAGGATTATTTATTTACAAGATCTATGATCAATTCATTTGTTGAAATGAAGAAATGAATAGATCATGAATGGCTTAGATTATAAATGGCTTTGATCTCAGTAAAACTAGCATAGAGAAAGGTTCTGGGAAATTCATTATTTTAGGGGGAGAAATTTTCGATTGATGAATTAATTCTTGTAGTGATTCAACAGCCAATTGTCACGTTTTTCCACAATTAGAATTACAATTCTTGAGTTTTCCATAGCCTATGAAAAAAACAATTGTTTCTTTTATTTTTCTTAAGAAAAATAAATTTGTACTGGATTTTCTCCACTGTCTCCTGTACATAATTCCCAGAAATCACTTTAATACGAGAGTCACCGCGTGGTGAGGGCTCTCCGAGTTGACCTGACAAATATCCATCAAATCGCTTTCTTCGACTCTTCTTGCCTCTTGATTTTGGACAGCCCTTGACAGCGGGTGTTCAACGGTACAGATACAGAGTAGAGAGCGTTAAAATGAGCCAGGTTTAAAAATATAGTGGCCAGTGTCAACGAAACATCTGAGTAACAAAGTTTTGACTTTGAATCTAAAAGAGGAACAGACTCTTTTCCTCCGGTTTCAACAACCAGTTGTCAAACGTTGACAACTCGCTGAAAAACCGAATGATCAGGCGTCAAATTCGATACATCGTTGCCAATATTTTTTTCTTTCTTCTTTATTATTTTTTTTAAGTATTAGAGTAGGTTGCGCGCTTTCAGCGCGCCGTCGATAGGTTGTTATAGTGTAGATTTTTAAAAAAGAGTCGGATTGGTATGAATTTTATTCTTTTCAAATTTTTTAGTGGAGTAAAAAATAAAATGAAGAGAAAATTTCTCAGATTGTTGATTTAAGTATGGAAGAAGTCTCTAATTTTTTTCATTCAATTTTCATATGCAAGAATGAAAACACATCGTGGAAAATCAATTGATTTAAAATTAATTCAGTAATATTATGAGCCGTTGCTCTTTACAATAATTAAAGTTTACTTATCTTCATTGAAATTTGAAAAATAATATAATTGGTAATTTAAATTTTCCAGCGACAATTAACTAAATAATTGACAAAATGAAGTTGTCAATTGACTATTTAGTAAATGTTTCTAAATTTCATAAAAGTATTTTCGATTACTCAAATGATCGTCCATCTTCCGAACTAAATTATTGATTGATGAAATAATTCAGAATTTGAATGTTTAATTGATATTTAATTGCAGTAGTGAAGTGGTAAACGGAGATAAGTGGGCTCATCTCCCAGTTGAGTTTTTGAGGAATATTTCCGAATCTATGGGAGATAGCGAAATTTTCGTAATTACATTTATTGTAGCACTCAATTGGCTCCACAGAAAAGGTTATAACAAAAATTTTGTCATCTTCCTTAGATTCCGAGATATTGATTGAAAA